CTGGCATTGTGCTGCCATGTGACTTGGGCAGTCCATTTACTTAGCCTCTTGGGGCCTCAGTTCCTTCACCTGTGAATGGAGGGCGTCATGGCCTGCTCTTCGTGAATGTGCTGTGAGGCTTCACTGAACCAACGCACGAGAGGACAATGCCAGCACGTGGGAAGCCACAGAAAAATGTCAGCTGTTCATATTCAAGGGCCCAACCATACTGTGTCTGTTGCCATTAGATCAGAATACCCTTTATCACTTTCTGTCTGCTTATTTAGTAGAAAAAGGCCAAATCTTCCAGAAAACCCAGAAGTCATTTATGTGCCCCATTGTCTTCCTGAAGCAGTCACTTTGTGGCCTTCTTCTAAACGTGTACAATTCAGCAAAGCCCTTATTGGCACAAGACAAAATGTACCTCTCTTGACAGCATTGATTTCTGTTGTTTTACTACTGGCTTATGCCCCCGGGACTCTTAGAAATGTCTCCATTCCTATTATCTCTTCATTAAACAGGCATCTTTTATAATAATTCCATATCCAAGCTGTGGCAACTCCCCATTTTACCCGAGGGGAACTGAAGCTCAATATACAGAGTGAATCAATGTCAGAATTGGGAAAAGAACCGACTCAAGAGTTCAGAGATCGCCTCAGTGTGTTGACCTTAAAGGAATGTCCATCTTCACCTTCCTACTCTTCCGATGGTTTTTTTTTGGTGCCTTTCACTACAATCAGGTTGAACGTCTTTTAGGTGAGCTAATAATATTTCCATTTAAATCTCTCTCTCTCCCTGTCTATCTAAACTATCTTTGCACTTTTGTGAAATGTAAAATTTTAGGAGTGCAACAAGGGAAAATGCAGTCTACTTATGTAAGTGATAGAAGTTATAAAGAAAAAGATAACTCATTAAGAAATACAAATTCTGCCTCAGTGTTTTGACTATCTTGAGCATCAGTTGTATCTCTCATGGGTCCAAACACCTGCACACTTACTTATATCTCCTTGATGTTAATTAAGCATATGTGTTTTTATTTATTCCCTTGACATAAAATACATGCTGTCATTTAGGTGCAGATTAGTAAAAAGGTTAAAGATGGCGATGGTTACATAAGCTTAGATCTCACATTGTCACACGTCAGTGGCTTGGCACCATCTCTGCTCCTCCTCCGTGCTGATCTTTTTGTAGGTGTTGAAAGCCTGTGAGCTACATTTTTCAGAATCTCTTGCCAATAGGGTTCTAGGTTAGATTTTGCCAATAAGAGGCACTAGTGAGAGATTTTTTTAAAGTGGGAGAGTGGCAGAAAACATCCTGTTGTTCCTCAGGTAGCGGAAGACCGGGGGTAGTATCTAGAACATTCCTCTGGGCATTTCCCTAGGAATCACTTACTTTTTGCTGTAGGCTGCTCTTACTCTTGCTGGTAGTTTCCCGCTTTCCTGAATGCTGGCAACAGGCCTGAGGACTAGAAGCAGTTTCCCCAGACCTTCACTCTTTCCAGCCCTCATTTCCTTTTACTGAATCTCTTCTTTCTTGAAAAACTTAATTATTTGAGGCTTTTCTGACCCAAATCTCATGGCCACTTTGAAATTAACCAAAATTAATTCACTATGACCTTTGTCAAGATGCTTCAGCTATCTGGCTTTCATTCTTAAAATGAGACAGCGGGATCGTGTGATCTTTTCTAGAGAATTTTGATTCTAGCTGGAATGTGCTCTAGAAAGATGTTCCCTTGGAAGTAAGAGATGCGAGAGAGGTCTATACCAGTGGATGTGAACTGTCCAGATATGCTTATAAGTGAGTTTTGCTCTGCCTACTCAGTCCCAACAAATACTGGTGCAACATTTAGAGATTTCATTTTATATAAAAAATCTGGCGTTCTGGACTGTCCCTAAAACTCAGAAGGTTCTCCATGCCAGCAGTTGCCTGGAGTCTTGCCTGGCCTCCTTATTCTGCCAGGTGTGTGCTCTCCCTGTCTCCACATCCTCCTCTCGTCTCGTCTGTCTGCCTTCTGCAGCTCTGCCCATTGTCATGCGCCAGCACACAAGTGTGTTTTTTCCCTTACAGGAGCGAGTCATTGTTTTGAACTCGTGTGTCTACGGAAAGGAGCAGAATTAAAGGTGGAGCAAGAGGGCAATGTTTTTTTTTTTTTTTTTTTAAACAAGGAAAAGCATGGTGTTTTGTGTAGAATATTCTGCATATTTATTTGAAGTTCCCCACCCACTTCTCCCATTTGCTTCATTTGGCTGCCTCCTATAAGCATTTCAGTTGATGAGCCCTGGTATAAATTCTAGCACTGTTTTGTTTTTTTTTTTTTCCACCTTATTTGGGTCACAAAGCCTTTGAAGAGTATCATGAAAACTCTTGGACACTGCCCAGAAAAAAAGGCAAGAACACAAACATATAATATTCTGATCACAAGTTTCCTTGAAGTCTTGCATGTAACTAAATTTAATAAGGTCCTTGGCTCTAGAGCAGTACTTCTTGTGAAAATGACGATTCAGATTCAGTACGTCTGGGCGGTGTTTGATTCTGCATTTCTAACAAGCTCTCATGGTAGTGTTTTGGTCTGGGGCTATACTTTGAGTAGGAAGGTTCCAGTGGTTCTTAAATTTTCTTTGGACATTAGAATCCCCTGGAGACATCTTAAAAAAAGATTGATGCTCAGGCACTGGTATTTTTAAGAAGCTTCCATCTATAGGGCTCGGGAACATTGTTCTCCATCAAAACTCATTTACTGAAATAAGCAGAGCCGGGCAGAGAAGGCTGTAAGAGAGGTCTAGGCATCAGGTGGATGGAGAAATGGAGGTCAGTGGTGCCAACTCAGAAGGCAGGGCATTGCCAGTGACTAATAATTTTTTTTTTCCAGTTCCTTTTTTCTGCAGCGAAAGCAGGAGTGGTCACTTCATGCCTCAAAGAAATTTTGAAATGACCTGCTGTGTTGGGATCACACCGGTGGCTTTGCAGAGCCTACCCATCTTGGGCTCACCTGTTGGTTGGTTTCATAGCCGGCCATGAATTGGGGGAAAAAAAGGAGTGTTTGGTAGAGCTGAATTTTCTAGTCACTGTTTATCATTTCCAAGGCAGTATTCTCCTCTTTGGATATGGCCTTATCCAAAGCTACCAAAAAGCCACAAAAGTTGTCCCTGTAGACTTTATGTCAAATGAGAAACTAGTTTGGAGTGGTGTCTACTTCCAGTATTGGGGTGGATGGCTCCTTTCACATGGAGTCCATAGCAATTTAGGAAAAAACAAAACAAAACATGAGTGTGTAACACAAAAGACAAGTGTCCATGACACTACTTGATTTGGGCTTCAAAGACAGAATTGAAAGCTGAACTTCAATGGGTGTCAGATCAGTAGAAAGAAGTTCTCACAAATGATATCACAGCCTGGGTCATTAATGTTCCTCTCCCTTCACCTTACATTGCAACCTCCGTGTGCATGCCTCTAATTAGTGCAGCTCGAACAGAGGAGACTTCTGATGCCAAATGTGTGGAAAATTTCCAAAGAAGCATTTCCATTTTAAAGAGATCTGAAAATATTATCTGAATCAGCTCCCCCTTTAAAAATTCTATTCCTGCGGGGAAAAAAGGTAATTATATGTATTTAGATATGGATGACTTTTGCAAAAAAAAAAAAAAAAATTAAATTTTAGTTGACATTGCCTAATCAGAAGGAATTATTTCTTAATCATGAAATAATAGCCCTAACATTCTTAGATTCAAAGAAACTCTTGAGTAAAATGTAGTTCCCGCTGCTTATGTGTACTTACGAAATGATGTTTTAAAATCTCTTTTGCACTGTTTTTCTTAATTTCACAATGACCCTTCTCTACCATGTAGCCATCATCTTTTGCTCTGTGGTTCCCGACCATCCAATAGAGGTATATACAAATGGGCATGATATTTAAAACACATCTCAGAAAACTTTCGGGATATCACCCTTCTCGGTCTGATTCACATCTCCGAGGCGAGGATGCAGGAGATGGGATCCCTCTGAGCCGTAACAAATTGGGCTTCTGGGTGACAAGTGGTGAGGTCTTGAGGAGCCAGACCTCTTTATCTGATCCTCTTTATCTGTGAGGCCATCATCTCTGAGACACACCATTTTCTTCATATAATAGACTTGCACCTGTCATTCAGTTGGGAATGACAAAGAAAATAGTTTTCTGCTCTCATCTTCTCTGTTTTCTTGTGATTTTTCTCTTTTCTCCTGCCCTAGAGAACAGATGTTCTGTGCCCGCTCAGGTTGGTTTTGCATTGTTTTGGTTTTCAAGGAGTGTTTTTTAACATTCCTGCTGATGATTTAGCATAAATTGTTCTTGTAATTAGCGTGGTTAATGAACTCCCCACCTATCTTTTAGTAGGTAATTATGAAGCCGCTGTATATTAGCTGGTACTGTGTAAAGAGGAGGGGAGGGCTGGTGATTATGGATTCCATCCTCATGTCTCTAAGACCGAATCCCAAATGGTTTAATCATCATCAGTGTCAACCTTTGCCATATCTTTATTCTACATGCCATATATTATAATGTTGCATTTATATTCCACCTTGACTTTGATATTTGCTCCTTCAGATTAGAGGTAACCTGATTAGACAGGGCGAGTGGCAGTTGAAAGAAATGTTTTTAAAATATGCATGTACCATCACCAATTTCCCACTAGCGGTTCTCCCTATATCCAATTGTCTGCATTTACCAAAGGCTTGTTTTGTTTTGTTTTGCTTTGTTTTTAGATATAATTATGACTAGGAAAGATTGGGTCTGTGGCAAAAATGACAATTACCAGCAGATTCTTTGTGTATGAGTTCTGTTCTTTTAGGCAGGGGCAGGGAGACAAGGAGGAAAGGATCTCTTCGTACAAAATGTGAAGTCACTGAGTATTTCAAATGCATAAATACTCGTGTGTGTGTGTGTGTGTGTGTGTGTGTATTCATATTTAACCTAATCCTATTATAAGGATCCCTGTCCAACCTATAATTATTGCCATCCTTTATTCTAGAGTCCTTCTCTCTGGCTGCGTCATGTCAACTGCTACTTCAGTAATATTGGGCAGTCACTGATGGCAGAGATCTTTCCTGAGCCAACTGGCCACTGATTTTCATCTACTAGGTATGTTACTGCATTAGCAGATGAGAACATATCAAAAGAGGTGATTGCAAGGTATTGAAGGAAACAGAATAATTGGCTGGTCTCAAATTAGAAGAAACATTTTGGCATCAAATTTACAGAGGAGTAGGTACCTTTTATAGGCACAGGCTATAAATTTTGTATCCAGTCCCTGACTTCTTCCAATTTGATGTAATTCTAATTGTAAAAAAATGGACAGTAGTATATGAAACATTTAAGAGCCGAATTTAAGGCTATGTTTAAGATAGGATACTACTGCAGGAATTGTTATAAGATGATAGGTGGTTGCTTGCCAAATGATGCTATCCACATTAAGTGTTATGAGTTCCAGTGGGGGGGCACTTTCTATATGTTAGAGTGGTCCTGGACAATTTTAGCAAAAAAAGGCCATAACTGGTCCTTCTAGCCTCTTTTTAGATTAACTCCTATATAATGCCAAAGGACAAAAAATTAATGTATACAGACTTCAGGTTAGAAGTTATGTGTTTCTTGATGGAAGGCATGGCCTAATTCCCCACCACAGTCAAGTCACTGGACGTTATATATGTACAGATGTGCCATAAATAACAATGCCCTCTGCAAAGCTTATAAGAAATTCCTTACCCAGTCGGCCATCACCTTTACTTATTGCCCTTTTCCTCCCACACTATTTCTCTCTGGTCAAAGCACTATCTCTCCCGAACATGAGACACTAGTTTTTCGAATTTTTAGGACAGGGTATATTAGGTATTTAGAGCTTTATTGAATATCAAATTTAATTATTAAAAGAGGCTGAGGGTGTTGGAAAAACCACTGACACTGAAATTGGACAATTGGATGTGTCGCACAGGGTTCTTCATTGCAAACAACAGAAACTGACCATGGCTAACTTAGCAGACAGGGGATTATTGTAGGGCTATTGGGTAGCTCATGCAATAAACAGTAGCTGGACTCCAGGCAGCTGGGTGGTTTCATCTCTGTGCTTAGAGGTCTCCCCACTTGACCCTCACCACCACTGTGCTGGGCACAGAGCTCCCCAATTGCTCTGGGTGCCACGTGATGCTCCCTTTGCCCTTCATTCCTCCCTCCAGTTTTAGGGACCAGAGGAGGAGCCTGTGATCGGCAAAATCTGTGTCATGGGCTTGTACCCTAATCCCAGAGAACTGGGAGAAGGAGATCAACCCCTTTCTGCTTCTTTGATATCCATGACTATTGACATTTACTGAAACAATTGTGAGAGTTAGTGCTTTGACCAGAGAGAAATAGCGTGGGAGGAAAAGGGCAATAAGTAGAGGTAATGGCTAACTGGGTAAGGAATTTCTTATAAGCTTTGCAAAGGGCATGGTTATTTATGGCACATTTGTACACATATAATGTCCAGTGACTTGACTGTGGTGGGGAATTAGGCCATGCCTTCTATCAAGAAACACATAATAGTGAACCCTGCTAGTGCCGATGAACAAAAATGGCAATAGTCCATTGCATGTGGGTTCAGTTGTGTCTCTTCTTTTCCCAGTTGTGTGAGCTGTGGCAAGCCACTTAAATTTTATGAACCTCAATATCTTCTTTAAAATTGATAGTTTCTGGGACACCGCTTAGCTGGCTTAGTCAGTGGAGCATGGGACTCTTGATTTCCGGGTTGTTTAAGTTCGAGCCCCAAGTTGGGTGTAGAGATTGCTTGAAAATTAAACCTCTAAAAAATTTGATAGTTTGTGATGCTGTGAAGATTAAATAAAGTGACACGTAAAAATTGTTTGCAAACTGAAAAGTGCCTTAAAATGTAGAAATAATGACTACCCCAATGAAATATTTCTGATCTCCCAGGGTACCATGAGCTTAAAAATTCACAAGGTCTGAAAATAGTAGCTCCAGCTAACCATGTCAGGATTTGATTGCATGCTCTCAGGTGTCTCCAAATATGAGATGTTAGGGCAATGTCACTAGGGATGGGCTTTAAATGATGTTGTATGCTGATTAAAAGAAAGCACCTGGGTAGCTCAGTTGGTTGAATGTCCGACTCTTGATTTCAGCTCAGGTCACGATCTCAGGGTCATGGGATCAAGCTCCTTGTTGGCCTCCACACTCAGCGGGGAGCCTGCTTCTCCCTCTCCCTCTGCTCCTCCCCTTGCTTGTGTGTGTGTGTGCGCATGCATGCTCTCTCTCTCTTAAATAAATAAATAAAATCTTAAAAAAAAAGGAATTTGCTTTTCTGCCTTTCCCACTTATTCAGTGGAAGGCAGCTGGAGAAGTTCTCTGTCACCATACTCTTCCCTGGAGCCGCAAGAGTTAACTATTTGAAGCAGGAACAGCATAGGAATAAAAGTAAGGCATTTGGGGATTGACCAATCCACTTTTAATACTGTTCCTGGAAAACGGAGTTTCCATAGGCGCTTCCTCAGGACCGTTCTGTTGGCATGACTCCCATGGGATTATACACAGATGCTCTCCCTGAATGTCCTTTATTACTGTGCGCATCTTGTTCCCAACCTCATGCTTTTCACTGGGCACAGGGTATGGGAAGAAAGCAGGAAGGCACTGTGTTTATTTTCTGGATTGACATGGTGGCTCTCATTTGCAGCAGGGTTCTCTTATCCCCTAGAGACGTCCTTCTAGGAAGGGGATGCCTTGTGTGAGGTGCAGCCAGAGCAGATGTGCCTTAGATGACAGCTTCAGAGCATGGAGTTTCCCGTGTCGAGCGACTTGGTACAAAGCGGGCTGTCACGTGACACAGCTGAGCTCATCAGCTCGCTGAGGATGAGATGAGGGGCCTTCAGTCCACCAATGCCCACTTAATTTGTTTTGCCGTGTCTCCTTCCAGGGGCTAGATAATTGAACTCTGTGTGGGAGGCCTGCACGTGATGAAATGCGGCCCATTACCGTCTCCCCAAAGTGGGCAATGCTTAGTCAGTGGGTTTTGTCCCTAATAAAAAGATGAAGAGACAGTGAGTTCCCCTTTTGTGAAGACCTGAAAAGCTCTGGGAACTGGCAGGTTCTCAATTTTGATTTTTATTCTAATTATATAGTGAAAACAATTCACAGAATTTGGTGTCTAATTTGAGATATTTTAATCCCAGTCTCATCCATTAATTTGTTAAGACCATGTGGAGAGAGAAACTTGAAAGCAAGTTCTCCCTGGCAGGAAAGCCTTTTCAGGGCCTAGATGAAAAATCTATCTTAATCACATATTCACTTTTCCTGGAGCACCCTGAACAAAGAAAGCCACAGCACAGGAATGAGCCTGAGCACAGTTCCTGTTTCACGTAGTAGTAAGTCACGACGGGTGACTTTCTATGACTAATCATTTCTGCGTCCCACAGCAATTAATTGTGCAATGTTAGGAATCCAAACCCCTGTGGGTCTCCATTTGCCCATCAATACAAAGATAGTGTTGCACTCTTTGATCTTTAAGGCTCCTGTCAGATTTTTAGAGATTTCTGTTTTAAAATTTTATCTTATTGAAGACAATGTCAGAGAATAAAAACAATGCATTGTCATTCATTCAAGTTTGTCTAACGTTGATGTGTTAGTACTTCAAGCTTAGAGTCGTTTATTCTCAGACTTTATTATTGAAGACTTACATGGATTCATGCATATAGTGAAATATAACCCCCCCCCCCATTTAGGGATAAACTGGAAATAAAGTCATCTATATTGAGTAAAAAAAATAAAAAAATCCAGACTTCCTTTTGTCTTTTATTTTTTTTAAAGATTTTATTTATTTATTTGAGAGAGAGAGAATGAGAGATAGCATGAGAGGGAGGAGGGTCAGAGGGAGAAGCAGATTCCCTGCTGAGCGGGGAGCCCGATGTGGGACTCCAGGATCATGACCTGAGCTGAAGGCAGTCACTTAACCAACTGAGCCACCCAGGCACCCTCCTTTTGTCTTTTAGATTTGTAATGCTTGTCTGTGCTCTCCCTCTCCTCCCCTAAACCAGGCAGGCATGTTCTTTGTGTCAGTAATATTAGACGCAAATGCATGTAGTGTGTGTGTGTGTGTGTGTGTGTGTGTGAAATGCACAGCATATAGTGCATGAATTAAATAATGAGTGAATATTCAAACAATGTGTTTCTATCTTACAGATGGTCTTTGATAGAGTCAAATAAGAGCCAACTGAGCAAGGCAGTTCTTGTGATAATAAACCATTATCAGTTCTATTCTATATTCACTTTTTACTCATGGCTAAAATATATTTCAGTGTGACAACATATTTCTTCTCTGCCATTACCATTGGTCTTCACCCGCACCCTCAAAGGGCACTAAGTGTCTTTTAAAGTTGGAAAGACATGACATGTGTAAGCCTGATACCTGAATTTTGTAACTTCCTGCTCCTCTCCCCACCACTGCCAAAACCTGTACAAGTCTTAGTGCTCTTACTTTTCGAAACAGCAGCTTGTGATGTGATGTGGAATCTGAGGTGTGAGAGATGGGCTGTATTAGTGGATAAGCTCATGTTTTTATATAGAAACAGGTCATGTATTGGTAGGAAATCTTACTTGCTGCAGAATCCAAGCAGAGTTGAAGGGCGACGACAAAAATCAACACAGAACTCTCTGTTGTTTTCTTTCCCCTTGTCGTTTTAGGAAATTTCTCTTATCACTTTGATCACGCTACTTTGTGGAGCTGTTTGGGCAAATCCCCACCTTTAGATAGGCCCACTGACTTCCTCCTAATAGGGTCATATTTATGGGGCTGGAGGCGCTGCTGACTGGCTTCATTCCCCCAGGAAGTAACTCTTGGCTCGTTCTGGCAGGGACATTATAAGCTCACAGGCTTTATCAAATCTGTAAAACCAAGTGTGATTTACAGCTCGAGCTGGGGCAAAGAAACATACAGCAGTTGGGTTCTAAAATCAGTAGCTTCCTCCCTGAAGAGGTAGAGGGAATTTGAGTCAGAAGCCAACAAATAAGACCAATTTCAGCTTATCTTGAAAATTTCCAGACTTATTCATAAATTTGACAGGAGTGTTATCGGAGAGAAACACTTTGAAATGATAAAAAGTAAACACTCGATATAAGACCCAGTGATGGGGATCTCTTTCAGACGGCTGGGCTTGGTGCAGAGGGCCACGGTGACAATGGAATATGATGCCACATCCTTTCCCTTTTATGTTCCTTTAAACAGCCTGTGGCAGTGTGGATAGGGTGGGAACTAGTCAGTCAAAAATGTACTTTGAATGTTTAAAATTAAAAAATAGGGGAGAGTTGAATGGGAAGTAATGAGGATTTTCTCTCTCTCTCTCTCTCTCTCTCTCTCTCTTTTTTTTGACAAAGAAAAATGTTCAGGAGGACACAGTGGACAGAGTTTCCATTTTTATTATTTCTCTGAGTAGTAAATATTTACAAAATAGGAGGGATTTCTTTGCCCTTTGACATCTGCTCTATTGGCAAAATTAAGTTGAGATGGAAGATGAGCAGAACTCTCCCTGATTATCCCATTTGATAGTTTGACAGTATGACCAAGAAATTGTTTAAATTATCTTGGGATACAATATTAATATCTCCAGAGAAAATGATAGATTTTTCTTAATTTTAAGCATCAAGGAACTTAATTATTTCCCACTGCCCAGAAGGCCCACTATCTTTTAAAAAAATGTCTACCAAAAGTAAACCTTATTCAGTAACCATTTATCCTTTCTCATGTTTTTATTAATAAAAACTTGGTCAGAGCCAAGTTTCTGGTTGGTTAGACTTCTGACCAGCTTGTAAAAGGTAACCAGCTTTGCCATGCTGAGTTAAAAACCCAACATAAAACAAAGTGCTTTGTTATGCCTGATGACCCATTCAGTCTCGCCAGGAGTAAATGTGTGTGCGCACACATGTGTGCATGCATGTGCACATGACACACACGTGTGTGCCATTTTGAAATGCCAGATGTTGTTGGAGAAGCCTGTTCATCACCTTCAAGGATACCTAAGTCACTTAAAATATATCGTGGAAGCTGTTGAACAATCTCAACTAACATAGGAATAAGTAATCTGTTTTAAAGTAGTCCTAAGCAAAACACCTAAAAAATACTAAGTGAGTAATTATGGTAGCAAGCAATTTCACAGAGTACTGTGGGAGTAATCTTTATCTTTTAAAATAGGGGATTGTTTCTGTCATAAAGGAAGCAGGGCAAAGGAAAATTTAGCCTTCCACCAGGAACGTGTAGACCATTCAGACAAAAAGAAGAAAATTAAGAATTCTGCTCTATGTGGAAAAACAAAGGAACCTTGACCTGAGAATCTTGGATACCCACTTTTAGTCCTGAAATGTTCAATGAAACACTGGGAAAAGGAGAGGTGAACTCTGTGCTTGACCATTTCCCTGAAGCATGGGCATCCTCAGTGCCCAGCATAACAGACTTCCCCTCTGCCAAGGTTAAGTGTGTGTGTCAGGAGGGGTGGCCTAGGAGAAGCACCAGATTTTTGTTGCCGCACTTGGCCTGGCAGCCAACACATCTCCAAAAACTGACATTCATCCCATGGCACACCTTTGAGGGTGAGATGACAAAGCTTTTTTCTTTCTGACATTTTAATTTTCACTTCTCCCAAGGAATCCTGCCATATTTCGAAGTGGGTACAACATATAGTACTTAATTTATGCATTTAAGTAAGCATATCTGACAAAACCATAAAAGCTGCATAAGGTTTATGTGAGTAAATTGCCACTTCTTGAACTTTGAAATTTGCATGCAGAGTAAGTTGGGAGTTTGCTAATTAACTTTATGCACATGCCCAGAAATAAACTCACAAATATTGTTTCTTGTCACTGAGAATGTGTTTCAAGTATGCCAAACAAAGTGCACCTTCCAATGATATATCTAGGTCAAAAAATACTGTGTATCATAATATTTTTAGCTTTGTGGTCTCACCGTTTTTCACTACTTGGCACAGTTGTTTTGAGAATATTTTCTATCAATGGTTGTCATCTATGTAGAATAACAAAGTAGAATACTTGTTTTAATCCATACAGTCCCTTTTGGGGGAAAACTTGCAACTAGTATACCTACTGGAGACAAACTATTAGATGTTTTGCTTATTGGAAATAAATGAAATCCCAGAACTTTAGAATAAGGAGTATAAAATTTAGGCATTAGCTAAATTTCTGAAAGAAAAAAATCACAAATGTGGGGACTCAAGGAAGAAATTTATTGTTTTTCGCATAACAGTCCAAAGGCGAGCAGTTTAGGCTTATGGGGCAGGCTTTGCTCATGACAGTCATGCTAGGACCCAGGTTCCTTCCATCTTGTGGCTCCACCATCATTTAGGGTGGTGTCCGTGTCTGACTCACTGCCACGTCCACATGCCAGCCAGTGGAAAGGGAAAATAGAGGGAGGCATAGACTGACAGCTTTATTCCTAAGATGATAATGTGGAAGTTGGCCACAGCACTTGTGCTCACATCTGACATGGGGCCATGGAGGGACCACAGGTAGTGAAGGCTATCAGAAATCCTGAGATATGATTCTACCTGTCACTCTGGCTGGCAAATTCACAGAAACGGGTGAATCATGGTGGATATGATGGGGAAACTCCTTGAGGTTTCATACACCTTCATTTCTATTGATTTAATAAAGAATTGATAAAATAAAAAAAGTTAACCATTTAAGAAACTTAAAATAGCTTTCTCTTGATCTAAGAATCATGTAAATTAATGGCATTCATGTAGCTTAGATATAGCTGTAGTTTCTCTTTAGTGTGTTTTTATTTTGAAGATAATTGGGAGAGGTCCCCCCCCCCAAATTTTCCTCATAACTGATGAATCTGACTTCTCCTAATGACCCTAAGAAAGGATACATTGACTTGTTGAACAAATGTTATTTATTGTACATTTATTGTACACCTCCTGTGAACCTGTCATTGGGATAAGCACAAGATACAAAGGAATAATCACAAAGGTCTCAAAGGTCAAGGTGGGCATGATTCCTGGGTCCAGTTGTTCTGAGATTATAAAACTTGGGTATGAAGTGCTCTCCACTCTGATCTTTGCAACACCACTGGATATGGTATTTCTAAATCTTCACTCTTACCTGAAAGAGAGATGAAACAATAATTTGGGGGCCTTCTGATTCCCTAATTAGTTGAATGTTTCATGATCACCCATTATCTATCAGGCATGGTGCTAGGGTCTGGGAGAACAGTGGTGAAGATAGTACATGCCCCCATGAAGCTCATACTCCCTATCACTGATTCCCAACCACTGACCTCAGAGCTACCGTGCATATATGCCTGCTAAATTTCTCATTCAGCAATAGTAGCAGACCCTACAGCTCCAAACACAGTGATCTTCCAAATGTTTAGTCATTCAAATGGGGGCTCCATATCTCATACTCAACCATTGGTCTAAAAACATGTTGATTCAGCCAAAAAAAGAAGCAGAGTTTCTGAACTCTAGGAAATATCCTGGGGTCCAGTCAGCGATTTTAATTCCATGTCAAGGGAATCCTAGAACCTCTTCTCTCAGAAGCTTCCCACGTGATTTTCACAATTAGTCGGTTTGGAGAATTACAATTATGTATGTAATAGGATTCGCTTCAACACTTTTTCAGCCTTTGTCTTTCTGGTGCATGATAGCCGGTAGGTCTCCTGGGTTTTTTTGATGAGAACTTGAAACCCGCCTGGTTGTTTGTGGCTATGATGACCCATTACCGGCCCTCCCCTCAGTGTTGAGCCACAAATTTTGCCTTTGCCCTCTGCCACCACCTGTAGGTTTAGCTTCCCAATGAATTCCAATATTTAGAGCATTTTTTTTCTTTACACTAAATACATAGAATCCCTGGTTCTCCGCCATCAGCCTAACCCTTGGTTTTGGATTAATTGTAAAAGCACTTTTAAGTTTCTACTTTAAGCAAAGCACAGTACATTACAAATGCATTTATGTATTCTCTTAAAAAAGTGACTCCAATTAATCTCCTCACCATGATTCAACATATATCTAAAAGAAAAACCATCACGCATCCATCAATCATCTGAAGCCTTCTCCCAGCTGGAGAGCTGATCAATTTAAGGACATTCACTTATTTTTCTGTGCACGGAGAATATGAACTTTTCATTGCATTTTAATTCATGTTTCTCCCCTTTTATTGTCACATTACCTGTCAGATATGAACTTTGTATCCAAAGGTTCTTTTCCCTTATAAAGCAATGTGAGTATTTGGTTAGCGATTTTTTTTTCCTTCTAACATTATTTCCCCCCAAAGATACCATCTAAAATGTCATTTTGACTTCCTTTGTTTGTTTTATAACAGATACAGTGTCAAATTGAGAGAAAATAAGTCGTATTCCCGAAGCTCCTTTTCGAGATCATCGAAAATATATAGAATCTGTTTGCTTGATTTTAAACCACCAAATTTGAACATCATTCTCAAGTTAAAGCTGTCCCTGAGGACGGATGACATTTGATCTGAGTAACAGCTATGGTACTCGGGTGAGGCTGTTCTTTCTATATGGTTTCAAAGCTAGAAGCTCAGAAAATCCATTAAAGCCAGAGTCAGAGCAGAAATAAAGGTGATGACATAGCCATTTGAGGTGAGAAAGGTGAGCTTCTTCAGAGGGTTTCAAGAAAGTGCATAATGAAAACAATTTTGGAGCCATGCCTCTGTGGTGTTCCCAGCTGCCTAACTCAGATCTCCCAAGGATGAGATGCAATGCGACCTGATTAAACCCTCATGATGTTCTCACCGGCTCGCCTCTGTCTCTCAGATAAACACCCCTCTTTTAATGGTGCCCTCATTTCACAGGGCCGATGGAAGTCTGCTAATACAAGGGCTGCTTCACGATGCCATTCTGAGAAGGGTGCTGAGCACCAGCGTGCACGATGCCTGCCCTCCAGAGCACATCACAGAATGAGGGAAAATCATCTGCACCGTTGCCATGGAATGGGGAGGGAGTCAATGTACCGGTAGTATTGCTGCAAAAGTTACCCATGAGCTTTCACTAGAAATCATTAAGAAATGTCTCCCCCTGCTTTTTTTTTTTTTTTTGTCCCTGGCTCCCAGCCTCCTCGACCGCTTTTAGCTGAGCAAGATCTCCATCCGTCCTCAACAACCTACCTGCTCCAGCAGCCTAGGCATTTAGACTCTTTCCACTAAGCACAGGGCTATCTTGTATTTCTTATTCCAGACAACTGGTATTAGCCATCTTTGGGGCTTACTGTTGCTAGTCTTGTCACTCAGATTCGGCAACAGTCATGAAGGCTCCTTTGATTATATTTCAGTTCCTTAACAACTATTCTATTACCTCATCTGACTGCTAAAAACCCATAGAGGTTCTTGTCTTGTTAAATGTAATTCTGTTGCAATTACTGTCAAATATTGAATTAAAAGTGGTTAGCTCATTAACAGCTCCCCCCCAACAATCGATTAAAAAAGTTTTATTTTTTTCAATATGAAGATGGTTGGCATTTACTTATGAAGTCCCTTCTCCTCTTTGGAATCTAATTATGGTGGCTAGGAATGCTCATTTTTCACTTGGTCTCTGAATTCCTGGGGCGTGGGAGGGGGTATGCCGTAGGAATAGAGGGATGTGGCCGGAAACCACCTCTGAGGAGAGGCCCGGTCTGGCAGTGAGCCAGCTAAAGGTGTGGGGTGCAGGATCAAAGGCAGGGCTGTCTCCAGCCTCCGAGGGGTTCATCAGGATGTAAGAGGGCGGGCTTCCTGATGTGGTGGGCAGAACTGAGGTCTGGGGAACACAGGAACAGGTGATACTTGAAAATACAAGGCAGGGGGACAGTGGCGCTGGGCAGTGGATAAGCAGAGAGCAGGGCTGTAGCCACTGGGCTGACTTCCAGTGGAAAATGGCCAGATTACAGCAGGACCCCGCCTTGGAAGGAGAAGGCACGGTCAACTAGGCAGGCGACTTGGAAAGTAATCATAAATAGCAGTAAAAACACACTCTATTTCCCCTAATCCATTTTCACCATAGCATCTGGAGTGAATCTTTTAAAAATACAAAGCACATCACACCGCTGTGCCACCTAAACTTTTCAGCGGCTTCCTAAAGCAGTGTTCTTTTTTTTTTTAATTTTTATTGTTATGTTAATTACCATACATTACATCATTAGTTCTTGATGTAGTGCTCCATGATTCATTGTTTGTGCACAACACCCAGTGCTCCACGCAGAACGTGCCCTCTTTAATACCCATCACCAGGCTAACCCATCCCCCCACCCCCCTCCCCTCTAGAACCCTCAGTTTGTTTTTCAGAGTCCATGGTCTCTCATGGTTCGTCTCCCCCTCCGACTTACTCCCCTTCATTCTTCCCCTCCTGCTATCTTCTTCTTTTTCTTTTTTCTTAACATATGTTACATTATTTTAAAGCAGTGTTCTTAATCTCAGAACGTGCAAAGGCATTGTCCCTGGATCTTGTTAAAATGTGGATTCTGGTTGGGTGGTCTGGGGTGGCGCCTGAGTTTCTGCATTTCCAATGAGCGCCAGGTGATGCCAGGACTACACTGGGAGGAACAAGAACTTGCAGCACAATCAAAATTGTCCCACCTCCCTTCATCCTGTTCTCTCCCTTGGATGTCCATGTTCCAGCCACTCTCTTTGCCGCCTCATATGTCTTGTGGTTTCTCTTCCCTGTGCTTGGACTGCCACACGTCCGGCTCTTCTGGCTTCTCCTTGTCTGGCTGCAGCTTAAATATTCCCTCCTCACAGTGGCTCCCCCTGACCACCCTCCTTCCTGCTTATTCTCCAACAGAGTCACTGTTTCTTCCGTCATTGCTAGCCCTTACTCAATCTATAACCATTTATTTATTTGCTCCATTACTGTATGTGTCCCCAGGTGGGGGTAAACTCCCAGGGAGACATGACCCATTATTGATATGTTTTCCACTGTATCATTTATTAAGTTCAACCAATGTGCTAGACACTACGCTACCTGATTTACATTTATCTCATTTATTGCCAGCATCAGTTCTGTAAGTTAGGTCTTTTTAGTCGCTAGTTTTCAGACAAAATAATTGACACCCCTTAGAAGTAGAAAACAGAGACTTCAAGCATTTGAGCCTCACGGAGATCTGGAGAAAGGGTTGTAGCTTGTGCTGCTTCTGACTCTCTTCCTGACTTTCACCTCCAGGTGGAGGTACATAGATTGTATGACCTCTCTGATCTCCACGTGGTCCCCATGGGTGCACTGCTTAGGAGGGGACAGCAATTCCATTCTTGATCCTTCCTTGCATAGCCGAGCTAGTCCAATCCCAAAGACATCTGCTAAATACTGAAGCAGAGCAAAAAGAAATTCAGTAAGGCAAGTAACTAGACTTTATCAACATTACCTACTATGGCCGACTGCTATGTATTGTGCTCCCGCCCCAGGCCACCTGCTTGAAAAATAAGATCAGTCAAAATGACTCGGGAGAGATTTCTCTTCCCAGGGTAAAGATGTAGCTTACCTTGGATGGGCATGTGTTCCTCTGAACCACCTCTACCATCAGTAACCAGGGGCAGGAATGCTCTGGCAGTTCCTGTTTTCTCCTTTCTGTAAATAGAAATTCCAGTAGGAGAGCATCTTGACAGTATTTGGCACCTGGGGTCCATATTTAGCTTTTCTGTGCAAGACGGAGCATTTGTAGCCATTGCTTTACTGGGGAGGACATTTCAGGGTTGAGAATTTGAGTATTCTGTCTTTGTTGCCCTGGATGACCCTGAAAGGGGGCGGATGAGGTCTCTTACATAATTTTGTGTACAAGTAAACATTTCGTTTCTTATGGTGAAGGGAAGAAAAGAGGAGTGGGAGGTTTGGGGCTCTGGTTCTAAAGCCCCTTCAAAGACCGCCTTAGCTGCTGACCCTCCTCGAAGGCAGGAGTGCACAGGGGCCTTCTGTGTGCTTGTTATTTTTGATGGATTGCAGTCTAGCTGCAGGGCAGGAAGCTCAAACCCCCGTGGTCGCATCACTGTAGCTGGCAAAGAAGTGGAGGCTTGAAATGGCTTGTTGTAGCCAGACCAATGAGAATTTCGGGTACTGTCTTCAGGATCCCCTACTCTTCCTTCTTCACACACACCCCAGATGTAAAGAATCACGCCAAATTGCACTCCTCTCCCACACCCTTCCCCACATACCCTCATGCTGAAGATGAAAATTGGTCTCTAATTGTTGGATACAAGCTTGACTAGCTTTGAATTAACAGCTAAAGCTGTATTCATTAATCTGAGCAGGGAAGAGCAGGCAGACTGTCACAACACGGCTCAGTTCAGTAGTCATGCAGAGCAGGTGAGGGAATGGGAGGCTCTCTGGAAGTGTGGCAGTGATCCCCATCAGCTCCATCAAGCAGTGATGAAGAGGGGAAGGCGGCCAGCCACAGGACCGCCAGGAGATGGATGGCATACCTCAAAGTCCACTGTCCCAGGGGCATCCCTGCAATGATCGATGGTTATCCACAGCAATTAAACTTCAGAGCTTTTAAATGGCACTCTAGAATGGAATGCCATCTCATAAAGGTGTTGTTTAGCATTTATCAAACATGGGGACCGGGTAGGGGTGGGGGGCCGTGGAGTAATTCTTTGGGGAAATATTAGAGCTTTTGAAGTGAGACAACCATGAGAATGAAATTTGATACTGTTCTAATGTGTTGTCTTCAATATTGAAATAGACTGGAACAGAACCTCTTTTGGACACTCTGAGATGGTTTATAATGTTGGGATTTAGTGGGGGTGTGGTGGGAAGAATGTACGAGAAACGGTCAGGAGAAAGAGTTGTCAACCACTGCTTTTTCACTTGTGACGATGTGTCTTGGATAAATGACAACTCATCTGCATAAATGGGGGAGGTTCTTCACCCCCAATGTGTCAGAATCAACTAGGGAGCTTTTAAAACATATCAGTGATTGGGACTTACCTGATCCATTAGTTTAGGGTAGGATGGATTACATATGTATTTGTAAAATCTCCCCAGCTGATTAATAGGTACGGTCAAGCTTGAAAACCACTGTATTAGATAACCTGAAGTTTTTTCAGCCCTACATTTCCATGATTTTTCTGTCTTATGGGGATATTCTCAAAGTAGATGGCACTTGCTAATTAAAAAAAACAACAACTTTCCATTGGAACAACATACAGTGTTAAAGGACAATGAGATGGTGGTTAATGTTTTTTTCTGTCACCAGTTTGTATTTATTCATTCATTTAATCATAGATTGAATAACTCTTGGCAATTATCAAATTCAAGGTTGGAAATATGAGGGTGCTTGCACATCGAGCAGTGGGCAGAATGAGGAGGTGTAGAGGTGTGTTGTGTGGATACCAGCCTCTATCAAAGGCAGTTGGAGCAGAATTCTCGGAATATCAGAAAATTACCAAAAAAGTTATTGACACTCCATCCTCCATTTTGGCCTTCTTGTCTGTTTATTTCTCTCTTCTGTTTCTAGCTCGATGGTGGCATGATATGACTGAGATATTGCCAGATGCTTTTAAATGTCTTTCATGTTTCCTTCCTCCCTCTTCCGTTCCAGCATTCAAGCAGTTAGCTGGCTTTGTAATTCTCACCTCAGGGGAAGGATAGAGGGGGGAGAAAAGTCATACGCAGGGATGTACGTTCCCCAAAAGGGCCCTTTTAGAAGATTGTTCTAATAGAGGCTATGCCCTCCAGAGTATGGATTCCTCTAGGTGGAATGATGAAGAAGGAAGGGGAAGGGAGAACAGAGACCTCAGTGTGCCCAGGAGATGGGGAGGGACCTGGCTTTGTTTGTAGGGAGCACTGTGGAGGCAGAACCACGTAAGTAGAGGGTGTGAGACCTAAGGGCAAAACAATTATGTCCACTTTGTCAATGGAGAGCCCCAAAAGGGAAAAAAGCCCAGTGAGGGGAAGGCTGTGGGGTCCATCTGGGAGCACATGCCCCAGACAGCACATCAGATATTCCCCTGTCCACAGGCAACAGAAAGAAATCAGTAAAGCTGAAGGGGCCACTGGGGCAGGGTCATCTCTGTGGTGTAGCTGACAGCAGAGCACCAGGATGGACGATGGATAGCTGTTGGTGCTTGCAAAGATGAGTGACATGAAGCCAGATAGGCTACCCCTTTGCCTTGAAACCATGTAAGCTCCAAAGAGCAAACGAAACTGGAATGATGTGGTAGGATAGGGTACTTGAATATAAATTAAATTGCCTTTAAAAATCTTCAGAGATGTAAACCTTTTGTTATCAAAAGATGTCCTTTTGGTAGAAGTAAGGGATAAAAATGAATCATGTAGTAGAGTTTGACAAAGACATATAGCCATGTGTGATTGGCACGACTGTCAGGATTCTGTGGAATATTAAAATGGATTCCCATCTAGAATAAGGCCCAGCTCTGCTCAGAGAATTCTGTTGCTTTAAATGAAAGGCAAACAGGTAGAGAAGCAGATCTGTAAGAGATAATTCCATTTGCAAAAGAAGAAGTCTAATCTATTTTCATGCCAAAGTGTAAAGGACTCTTCACTTTATTCATCACTTCATTAATCTCATTTCAAAAGGGAAGGCCAGGGCTGAAAACAGAGGTTATTCACATTTCAAACAAGCTCCTTAGGCATAATGAGTGAGCAAAGCATTCAACTGTTAGACTTTGTTGCGTTCCTACCAGCTGGAGACAAGTACTACAAAGGTCATGCTATTTAATCTTACATACAGAGATGTATATAGTTGGGGTTGGAGAAGAAATTATTTTGGAAAAATGGCAAATTAGAGATCTGTGACGCACTGAGGAGCAGGGCAGAGTTTGGAAGAACATGAATAGTTCAGTGGTATCTTTTCCCATCTTGTTTTAGTCTACAAAATGACCGAATGAAAAATACCGTGGTAAGCCGTGAGAAATAGCGAAAGTCATATATCCCAAACACCATTCTGTAGCGAAGCGGAGGGGTTTGGAACGACTGGAAATACTTCCACCCCAGGAATTTCCAGGACATCTGGTAAGTCAACATTATCACAAACATTATGGCCAACAATGTGAGTTCTTGCAACAATGTATTCATTTTCCAAATGTTCCAGCTGAGAAAGCCACACAGAACATTCCCACCATCTAGCAGATGGCTAATGGGGAAGCCAATATTTTCTGTGGAAAGCAAAGTTTCTTCTTCTAACATTAGACAATTTCAGCAGAGAGAACAAATAAGCATTTGTTTTTGTATTCTATTCTCTCGCACTCATAAAGAGAATGCGTTATAGACTATTAATTTTAAAAGTACGTAAGAAAATGAGTTTTTCCTTGAGATTACAGAACTAAGACACTTTTCAATCCAGAAATGTCTGGTGGTGGGGACAAGGGCTACTGCTCCCGCATCTAGCCAGAGAGGCAGGGGTTAAGGAAAACCTTAAACATTATTTATTATTATTGCTGATTGGTGGGCAAAAAAACGAAACAAAAAACCTTAAACTATGTGGGTGGAAATGAATTTGCTCCTACCTATCTCAGATTTACAAGCGACTTGTAGGATGTGGAGATTATGAATGAGATTTTACTTTCATAGAAAATGAAATGAAATGAGCAAGGCATGGTTGCCAAGTTTGTTTTAGGAAAGAATGGGAGCAGGTGGTAAACGAAAGATAAAATGTGTTATTTGAATAACACTGAATTACTATGTCTAGTTTCACAGACCTTATTTACTGTGCCAGGAGAGTGGGTCGATTTGCCTTTAAATGTTTTACCTTCACTTATTATTATCAAGCATTCAAGTAAATGTATAAGTAACACATATAACAGGTGCTGTAAAGAGTGGGAGCTTGTTATAAATAGTTTCACTTGTTTTTGTTTTGTTTTCTGAGCTGTTTGGAGCACTGAAATGAATTTCTACTTTTCCAATTTTGAGTGTTTTTATGTCCCTCCTGTGTGACTAGAACCCTTCTATTTTTAAATTAATTTTGATCCTGCCATGCAAAAATACTGGCATATCAAATGACACCTATTTTTATAATAGGCTCATTAACTCTTTCAATAAAGATTAAAGTTACTATATGCCTACCCTGCAGGAGGAAATATGCTGTGCTCTGCTGGAGCTACAAGAAACTTACATAGAATCTAATGGTGCAAAGACAGGCTAACTTACAGCACTTTATCAATTATATCTGCCTCCTTCCTCTAAAGACATGGGTGTCTTAGCTGAAACACTCCTTTGATGGTTGCTAAGAGTCTGGCTTTCTAAAGCTCAGACAAACTGGAATCTAAGATGTTGTCCAGGGTTGACAAAAAGATGAAGATGTGCTCTTCCCGGAGTAGTTTGGTTCAAGAAGCAAGAGAGCCAAAACCTTGTAACCAGCTCCTTACTCAGTGTGGTAGGTGAATAACGTCTCCCCTGCCCCCGACCTTTGTCAAAGGTGCTCATGCTCCAATCCCCATAACCTGAGTGTGGCATGGCAAAAGGACTTTGCTGATGTGACCAAGTTAAGGATCTTGAGATGCCAAGATGATCCTAGGTCATCTGGGTGAGATTAATGCAATCACAAGGACCCTTAGCAAAGCAAGGCGTAAGGGTCAGAATCAGCAAAGCTGTGACAATGGAAGCAGAGATTGGAGTGATGTGCTCTGTAGATGAAAGAAGGGGCTGCAGACCAAGGTGGGTAGGTGGGCAGCCTCCAGAAGCTAGAAAAAGCAAGGACACAGATTATTGCTGGGAATTTCCAGGAAGGAACACAGCAGCCCTGTTTGATATTAACCTTGATTTAGCCCAGGGTGACCCGTGTTCTCTTTCTCACAACAGAACTGTGCAATAATAAGTTTGCATTGTTATAACTGACTAAATTTGTGATCATTTGTTACAGCAGCAATAGGAAACTGAAACGGCCAGAAATTCATAAATAATTGCTGTAATTTTTTTTTTTTTGGAAGGAAGGAAGATGTAAGCCTAATATAAAGAATCTATGACATAGCAAGGATTGGTCATCTTCCTTCACTCTGGCAGAGTCCTACCTGCACAGACCGGCATCAGCTTTTACACACGAGGAAGCAAGGGGCAAGGGGAAAAACGTGTCAAGATGCTTCTCCTCACGCTCTCGGCTGCCACCTTACCTTTCGCTCTGATTGATATCCCTTCTAAATAAATTGGTAACCTACAGGAAATAGGCACGTGTGATCTCCTCTTGACAAGTTGTGGACACCCCTGAAATGATGCAAAAATAATCCTGGCAAAGGCTCAGTTGAACAGTAACGGGTCCTCACTTCTGATTTTAACATGACCTGTTTCTGTGTCAAAAATACTATCCTGGAGGAGTGGAGGTGATGATGACTTGGGCCAGATCATCCTGAAGTTCTTTGATTTCTTTGAGGTCGATGATGTTTCTTTCTTTACAGAAATTTAAGAAGTTGCTCCCTGTTATTGGATAGCTTGGTGGACAGATATCAGAGAAAATAGAAACTAGGAAAAACAAAAACACTTAACTTGTAAAGGGAACGAATCCTCAGAAAACACATAATCCCCTGGCCCTAGATATTTTCTGTGCCTTGTGTGTGTGTGCGTACATCTGTGTAATAAGCAGGAACAAGAACCGTAGTCCTGGATCTGGGTCCTGTTTGTACCAGGATTGAATGTTGGTCCCACCTCTGATGCACATTTTTTTTTTTATTATGTTCATTTAGCCAGCATACAGTACAACATTAACTTTTGATGTAGAGTTCAGTGATTCAGTAGTTGCGTATAATACCCAGTGCTCATCACAACATGTACCCTCCTTAATACCCATCACCCTCTTACCTCATCCCCCACTCCCTTTCCTTCTGTAACTCTCACTTTGTTTCCTGGGGTCCCTAGTCTCTCATGGTTCGTCTCCCTCTCTGATTTCCCCCCCTTCAGTTTTCCCTCCCTTCCCCTATGGTTCTCCATGCTATTGCTTATGTTCTACATATGAGTGAAACCATGTAATGATTGTCTTTCTCTGCTTGGAATACATCACTTAGCATAATCCCCTCCAGTTCTATCCATGGCGATGCAAATGGTTGGGTATTCATCCTTTCTGATGGCTGAGTAATATTCCATTGTATATATGAAACACATCTTGTTTATCCATTCATCTGTTGAAGGGCATCTCGGCTCCTTCCACAGTTTGGCTATTGTGGACGATGCTGCTATGAATATTGGGGTGCATGTACCCCTTCTTTTCACTACATCTGTATCTTTGGGGTAAATAGCTAGTAGTGCAATTGCTGAGTTGTAGGGTAGCTCTATTTTTAACCTCTTGAGGAACCCCCATACTGTTTTCCAGAGTGGCTGTACCAGTTTGCATTCCCACCAACAGTGTAAGAGGGTTTCCCTTTCTCCGCATCCTTGCCAACATTTGTTGTTTCCTTTTTTGTTAATTTTTGCCATTCCAACTGGTGTAAGGTGGTATCTCACTGTGGTTTTGATTTGTATTTCCCTGATGGCTAGTGATGTTGAGCATTTTTTCATGTCTGTTAGCCATTTATATGTCTTCTTTGGAGACTGTCTGTTCACATCTTCTGCCCATTTTTTGACTGGGTTATTTGTTGAGTGTTGAGTTTGAGAAGTTCTTTATAGATCTTGGATATCAGCCCTTTATCTGTAATGTCATTTGCAAATATCTTCTCCCATTCTGTGGGTTGCCTCTTAGCTTTGTTGACTGTTTCCTTTGCTGTGCAGAAGCTTTTTATCTTGATGAAGTCCCAAAAGTTCATTTTTGCTTTTGTTTCCCTTGCCTTTGGAGATGTGTCTTGAAAGAAGTTGCTGTGGCCGCCTATGTTCTCCTCTAGGAGAGGTTACTACCTATGTTCTCCTCTAGGATTTTGATGGATTCCTGTCTCACATAGAGGTCTTTCATCCATTTTGAGTTTATCTTTGTGTGTGGTGTAAGGGAATGGTCCAGTTTCATTCTTCTATATGTAATTGTCCAGTTTTCTCAGCCCCACTTATTGAAGAGACTGTCTTTTTTCCATTGGATATTTTTTCCTGATTTGTCAAAGATTAGTTGGCCATAGAGTTGAGGGTGCATTTCTGGAGTCTCTCTTCTGTTCCATTGGTCTATGTGTCTGTTTTTGTGCCAATACCATGCTGTCTTGGTGATTACAGCTTTGTAATATAGCTTGAAGTCAGGCAATGTGATGCCCCCAGTTTTGTTTTTCTTTTTCACCATTCCCTTGGCAATTTGTGGTCTTTTCTGGTTCCATACAAATTTTAGGATTGTTTGTTCCAGCTCCTTGAAAAATGCCAGTGGTATTTTAATAGGGATGGCATTGAAAGTGTAGATTGGTCTGGGCAGGATAGACATTTTAACAATGTTTATTCTTCCAATCCATGAGCATGGGATGTTTTTCCATCTTTTTGTGTCTTCCTCAATTTCTTTCATAAGCGTTCTGTAGTTTCTAGAGTATAGATCCTTTACCTCTTTGGTTAGGTTTATTCCTAGGTACCTTATGGTTTTTGTTGCTATTGTAAATGGAATCGATTCCTTAATTTCTCTTTCTACAGTTACATTGTTAGTGTATAGAAAAGCAACTGATTTCTGTGCATTGATTTTGTATCCTGCCACATTACTGAATTGCTCTGTGAGTTCTAGTAGTTTGGGGGTGGAGTCTTTTGGGTTTTCCACATAAGGTATCATGTCATCTGTGAAGAGAGAGAGTTTCTCTTCTCAAACTCTGATGAACTTTTATTTTGTAGGACAAGATGTCTGTAGATGGGTTTTTTTTTTTTTTTTTCCTGAGTGTAAGCTTCTTGAGTCCCTAAGCCTGAAATCACTTATGCATGATACCAGAGGAGCCCACCATGTTCCCCTGGATTCTTCCCATAGATCTAGATCATCTTAATAATTATTGCTCTCATCAAATTGTGTTATTGTTTTTTATCTGTTTTCTGCCCAACAGACCATGAGCTCCTTGGGATGTGGCATGGAGTCCTCACCCACCTTTCTGTTTCTGGTACCTGGTGTGGTGCCTTGCCTGAGTGAGCACTTCATACATGTTGCTTTTCATTGTCGAAAGGGGACAAAATCCCTTTCTCCTGGAATCATTCAACTTTGTCAACAATCTTGATGACTGGCTTGAATCCTAGAGCCATACCAGATTCCCCTCTTCACATTTCCATTCACTGAAATATTCATTGTATGGTTCATACACTCATTCTCCACAGTGGTACCTCCCTTTGCATTGCTAAGATTTTCACTAAAATCGGATTCTTAGCTCCTCATGCCTGAGTGATTGCAGGCAGAGCATTCCAACTGCTCGTAATATCTGTGACAGAAGAAACTCTTCATATCATCTCCTTGGCTTAGAGTGGATATTTCCAAGTACAAGTCCATGGACCAGTCACAGAATAGCTGGGCCATAATTACTCAGGAAATTTATGGCAAAGCGAGCATCATCCCTGGAGTTTCTAAATGAACATAGAATTTCCTTGCTTTTAAGAGCTTTCCAAGTATTGTGTGTTGACTTGTGTACCCCTAAATTCATGTAACGGTGTCCTAATCTCCAGGAGCTTAGAATATGACCATATTTGGAAACAGGGTCGTTGCTGGTGTAATAGTCGAAATTAGATGAGGCCATACTGGAATGGGATGTGCCCCAATCCAGTTTCCTGGTGTCCTTATAAAAAGGGGAGATTTGGCCTGCACACAGGGAGAACAACATAAGGAGATAAAGTCAGAGATTGCGGTAATGCTTCTGCAAGTCAAGGAAGGCCAGAGATTGCCAGCAAACCACCAGAAGCTGGGGAGGCTCTGGCACAGATTTTCCTCACAGACCTCACAGAAGGAACCAGTCCTGCTGATAACTTAATTGTGATGTCTAGGCTACAGAACTGTGAGACAGTAAGTTTGGGTTAGGTCATCTAGTGTGTGGCACTTGGTTACAGCAGCCCTAAGAAAATAATATACCAGGTAATTCTTGTATATGGGCATGGTTTTTGAACTGGACCCTTATCCCTCCCCTGTATTAAAACTGGCAATAGCTTAAACAGTGATTATAAGGATTAAATGAATTAATATTTGTAAAAATGCCTAAAGCAAGACTTGGCACACAGTACCTATATGCATATTAAACTTCCAGAAAACCTTCTCACCGAGAGCACTGATATTACTGCATGTGTGCACTCGGAGATGATTTTAGATGGCATGTATATGAAAACAGATTCTTAATAAAACTGGCATGTCAATTCCATAATTTCTCAAATTTAGGTTGAGGCCAAGATCAGTAGGTCAGTAGTAATCCATCGTGGGAAGACACTGCATCTTTGAGATCTATGCATGCTCATGAATCTTCAAACCCTAAGTCACTAAAGCTTCTGGGGTATATCATTTGGATAAAGGGGGGAGTCCCTGTGATGTGGGTCACCAGGATGGAGTCTTGTTAACTGTGTCTCCATAGGTGTGAGGGCCTTTTCAGGAAAAACATGGCGCCCACTTTTGTTTATCAACACACAACACAGGGAAGACCCAACCCAATCGAATGCAATTTGACATACAAAGGCCGACGGAATTAATGAGAACAGATACCAACAAGGGGTGTTTACAATCTTCCAGGCATCCTTTTAAATGGTTTACCTGTATTCTTTCATTTCATTCTCATGACAACCCATGAAGTTGGTAGTAAATTATCCCTGTTTTTACCAAGGGAAGAACTGAGGCTCAGAGGAAGGAGGGACCATGCTGTAGAATACACAGGTGGAGAGTGGCAAAGCTGGGATGGAAGCCCAGCCATCCTAACACAGTGCCTACCCTCCTAGTCTTATGTTTTACTGCCTTTTAAAAAATGTGTGTTTGGGGTACCTGGGTGGCTTAGTTGGTTAAGTGTCTGCCTTTGGCTCAAGTCATGATCCCGGGGTCCTGGGATCGAGCTCCAAGTCAGGCTCCCTGATCAGTGGGGAGTCTACTTCTCCCTCTGCCTACCACTCTCCCTTCTTGTGGTCATGCTCTCTCTGTCAAATAAATTAAAAAAAAAATTTTTTTTAAAAAGATAGCATATACACATATATATACAATTAAAAGAATATCTGCAAAGCAGGTATTTGTATAAGCACTGGCCCCATCAACAAACAGAACATTGCCAGTGTTCTAGAAGCTTCTCTGGCAGCCTTCTGTGACCGTGTTGTCTTTTGATAACACC